AAATGTGTTTGCTATATGGGTTAATCCTGCATGGTTTGCTACAGATACATACATATCCTGAATGCGTTTGATATAAGGGTGAATGCTGAATTGTTTGCTATAGGTACACACGGATCCTGATTGTGTTTGCTATAAGGGTAAATCCTGAATTTTTTGATATTGGTACATACAGATCCTGAATGTGTTTGCTATAAGGGTAAATCCTGAATTGTTTGTTATAGCTACGTACATACAGATCCTGAATGAGTTTGCTATAAAGGTGAATCCTGAATGGTTTGCTATAGGTACATACAGATCCTGAATGTGTTTAATATAAGGGTGAATCCTGAATTGTTTGCTATAAGGGTGAATCCTGAATGGTTTACTATAGGTACATACAGATTTTAGATTTTGTGAAAACAAATTTTGTTTTGTGCAATAATGTGTGTTGTGTTGGTCTGATCTGCAAGATCAAATGAAATGAACATAGAAAAACACAGGTCATACATAGCATCGTAATGACGTTAAAACATTGTGTGGGAATTGACGAAGTATTCTGAGATATTTCCAGCTTAATAATGTTCTATACACATTTGATGATGGTCAATCTTAACGCAATATTTCCGACTTCAAAAATCAATATTGACCTCTATAAAAACAAGCAGCCTGTCGGCTGAGATAGCTCCGCTGTTAGCAATGCACATGGCAATTAAAGAACAGAAGATATCATTAGAAAATGAACAAATTTGAGAGAGGTCCACATGTAGTACCTATATGTATAATATATCAAAGCAATTGGACTTGCGGTTTTCAACAAGAAGTCGAAAATATCACTTTTTACCAAAAATTACAAAAATATTCATCAAAATTAGAGAATTAAAGATATCATCATGAAATGAACAAATCTGAGAGAGGTCCACATGTAGTACCTATATATGTAATATCAAAGCAATTGGACTTGCGGTTTTCAACAAGAAGTTGAAAATATCACTTTTTACCAAAAATTACAAAAATATTCACCGAAATTAGAGAATTAAAGATATCATTACAAAATGAACAAATCTGAGAGAGGTCCGCATGTAGTACCTATATATGTAATATCAAAGCAATTGGACTTGCGGTTTTCAACAAGAAGTCGAAAATATCACTTTTTACCAAAAATTACAAAAATATTCACCAAAATTAGAGAATTAAAGATATCATTACCAAAATGAACAAATCTGAAGAGAGGTCTACCCAAGGTACATATACACCAAGTATCAAAGCATTCAGGCTTGTAGTTTTCAAGAAGAAGTCGAAAAAGTAAAACATTGACACGGACGACGACGACGGACGACGACGACGACGGACAATCACTCATATGATAAGCTCCGCTCGACAAAGTCGACAGCGGAGCTAAAAAAGAAATCTCAAATTCAAAATTAAAGCGTGGTGGCCGTCGCGCAGCGCGTGTTCAAATTTCATGTAAATAAACAATGTATTTTACACGCGTTGTATACGTCGCTATGAGTCCCATATCAAACAGGACGCGGCACGGCGACTATCGCCCTTTAAATTTTTGCGACAGATGGGGCTTTCACAAAATTTCATGAGAGCAGAAAATTACATTATTTTGTATTTTCTGCACAATTTCAGATACACCATCTGGCGACATCCCAGGAGCTGTGAATATTCCCTTTCCATCTATCATAGATGAGAACACTGGAGAAGTAAAAAGTGTGAAAGAACTGAAGCAGCTTTTTCAAGACAAGGGCATACAACTGGACCAGCCTATAACTGTGACATGTAGAGCTGGTATTACTGCATGTTGTTTGATATTGGCCGCTAAATTGGGTGGCAAAGATGACGTGTCGTTGTATGATGGATCTTGGAGTGAATACTCAATGAGAAAATTCTCAACTGATTGAGTTCCAACAGTCATTATTTCTGTATGTAGTTGATATACCGGGTATAAGGTGGGGGCAATTATTATTATTTTACGCTCATAGCAACATTTCATTCTATACATACTAGAAATTCTGAATTTAAGTATTTGTATATATACCGGTATATATATATATATACTGTAGAATACTTTATTTTCGCTTGTAATTTATTTTCGCTATTTTCGCTGAAGGGATGTTTCTGTGAAAATAAAATTCAGCAAATATACTTTTTTTCCTATATTTCACATTAAACTCATCAAAAATCAGCGAAAATAAATTCCATACAAAACGCCCAAAAAGCCTTTTCAGCAAAAATTTATTCCAGCGAAAATAAAGTATTCCACAGTATATATGATATATGCAGTCACTATAAAGTACAGTCTGAGCATGAACTTGAACGGCGATGGTCATCATGCAGAGTGTTTTCAAATTTCATGTAAACAAATAAGGCATTTCATGCAGTGCGTTGTGTACGTCGCTATAAGTCTCATATCAAACAGCATGATGACCACTGCCCTTTGACTTCCAAGTTTAACTCTTCTTAAAAACTTACAATTTTCAAAGTGAGTAGCATTGTCATTACTGGTAGTAATTATTCTTTTTTAGTATTCACCTATGTTACTAATACAAGATATATTTCTGAACACAATGTAAACTAGCAAGGTAAACTAGCTTACAACTCGCTAAATGATTATTACACAAGTTTCGCTGACTTAAACTTTTTTTTATATATAACCAGAAATTATGCACGAAGTGAATAATTAATATTCACATATTTTTATATTAACTAATGTAAACGGGTTATAAAGAAAGATGGTAATATTGTACCAATATTATTTTGCATAATATAGTATTTGATATTTTCTGTACATTCTACGTTTACACATAGAAATAAAACAATGAACATGTGAAAAAATCAATAATTGCACGATTATGTTGAACTTTATGCAATTATAAATTGCTCTGTACAGGTTGATAAAGTGCTTAGTTTTTTGGAATTAAAAAAAAAAACATGTAGGAATATAATTTAGAAGTGTGCAAAAGTTATGTGGAAAGTCAAAAAACAATGTGCGAAAATCCACTAATAAAAATTACTGAATAAAAGTAGTTTATAGGAAATCTATTTATGGTCTTGTGCATTTTGTTACTCGTCCTACAGCTTGGATCGACTGATTTAGTTTTGAGGTTGGCAAGATATATGCACATCAATTATTTGTGGATTCATTACAATTTTGACCAACTGACAATTACTGTGGAATACTTTATTTTAGCTGGAATTAATTTTCGCTGAAAAGGCTTTTTAGGCGTTTTGTATGGTATTTATTTTCACTGATTTTTGATGAGTTTAATGTATATTCGTTGGATTTTATTTTCACGGAATCATCCCTTAAGCGAAAATAGCGAAAATAAATTCCAAGCGAAAATAAAGTATTCTACAGTATTCATTGTTTTTCAGACATGCTTGGACAGGTTTCTTTCAAATCTGTTGAATGAATGTCACAAATGGTGGGTTACTCATTCACCTTGTTTAGTTTTGTGATTTTTTTTATTCATATTATCATTTATTTAGATTAATGGTTTGCCTAAGAACATCATTTAACAGACTGGGAAGTCACCCCCCCCCCTCCCCCCAAAAAAACAGAGACCAAAAATGTCAACATGCCCTCAACCAATTTCCTGGACCAACTTCAATTCATTGCGTGATTATCCCACACATACATGCTTGGTTAAAATTTAAAAGCAAGAATTGGTTTTCATTATGCATATTGCTCAAGTTTTAAGGAAATCTTTTGGACCATTCCTTCGTTGATATTTGAATACGATTTCAAATGTTAAATACACTAATGTTGATGGATGGAGACCATTTCATTTCTAAAGACTTGTTATTTCTGCATTTCTTCAAGGAACCAATCTGGTAGGAATGTTTGTTGATCATCTTCATGTACAGTGTATATTATCCTTTTTGATGATGGATTCCATTCAAATAGATAAACACATCTGGAATTAAACAATAATGAACATACCGTAATCAGGCAAATCTTTTCCAAACTGTGTTGTAAAAGTCAAAATAAAACTGTAACCCACTATTGTAAAGTACTTTATTTTTACTGAATAGATAAATCAGTGAAAATACCTTTATTTTATACTTCACTTTCAACTTGTCAAAAGTTGTATTGCATGCTATGGTAGTTTGTAATTTTCTCATGAATAATTAAATGCATAACATTTGACATGGACATGACCTATCTATTACAAGATTTTTTCCCAGAAACCTACATCGAAAATCGAATAGCTCAGTCGTTGGAGGCTCTAACTGCTGTGGGTGATGTTGTGGGTTTGAACCTCTTTCTTGACAATTTTTTTTGTCAATAATTGAGGAAGAAGTCTATCGTTGCACTGCAACTAAAGATGCTCACTCCTAGCTAAGGTGGAAGGTCTGATTTACAATAGCAGTTTACAAAATATGCTAGTCATCTGTAGCAATGACACTTAGATTATGAATTCAAATGTAGAAATTACACTCTACATATGTGTGAATTCAGGAAAATACACCACTAGCTAGAACAATGGGTCACATGATTTACAACAACTCACCTTGGGTCATCTTTTTGAACAACTTGTTTAACAAAACACAGGAACTTGTCACAAAAATTAACACATACAGAGGGATTCCACATATACGGATCATCCTGGTGGCAAATAAAAATAATTTAGTTAAATGGTTAATTGTTAGTCATATGTTGAATTATGTACTGTAGAATACTTTATTTTCACTGGAAATTAATTTTCGCTATTTTTCGCTGAAAGAATTCAATGATAATAAAATCCAGTGAATATACTGTTGCTCATATATTTCACATTCAACTCATCAAAAAATCAGTGGAAATAAATTCCATAGAAAAACACCCAAAAAGTCTTTTCAGCAAAAATTGATTCCAGCTAAAATAAAGTACTTCACAGTATTTCACAAAACCTATTAAACATGAAATCAGTGAAAATGACAGAGTCCCGATTGATACTTTTTAAAAGTGATCTCTCGAGCTAAACCAGGCATCTCAACAAAAAGCATGGATTATATGTGAATAAAAACAATTTATTTAAATGTTTCAATTGAATCTTGTGTGGTTAGTATGATTGAAGATCACATTATTAGAGTGTTGTTACAATGCTTGCTGGTAGTATGATGGTAGATGCAAGAAGTTTATATTTTTTTTTATTCATTATGAGCACTGTTCCCTTTAATTTTTTTGAATCTTGAAAATACTGTGAAAATTAGCTCATTTTCCCCTTTGAAATGTTATTTCTGCATACAAAATGTATGGAAAGTTTCTCAAAAGACAAAAATTTCACTGAGAAACTACAATTGAATATGAGAAAATTGAGCGAAAATAAGGCTTAGAGGGAACACTGATAATGACACTGATATGACACATGATACAAACTAAAGCCAGATTTGATATCAATCAGCTATTTTGAATCCGATCTAGGAAAAAAAATGATACTCTGGTATGTATCATGGTTCCACTACGTTCAATGTATGTATGAAACTTGAAATATGTCAACGCACAGGCAAAATCTATCGGTAGTTCCAGAATAGTAGAAAAGCTTGGCCATCTTGAATTCAATCATCAAACAAGTGAATGTGCATAATGTATGTGTGAAGTTTGAATGTAATTGGTCAGCCACATCAGAGATAGTTCGCTGGAGCTCCATTCAATAAAATTTGACCATTAATTGGTCATTTGGAACCTAATCTGGGGGGGGGGGGTGACACACAGCATGGTACCAAATTTGAATGAAGTATGCCTATGTATGATGTTTGTGTACAGTTTGTGTACCAGACGTACAAAGGTGAATTTATTTATTAACTTTCCCATTTTGAACTATGACTGAAGGACCACAAATATTATTTTTGTCATCATGTGAACATATTTTTTGTATTGACTGTAATATTTCAACATTTCGTGATGCCTATTTCAGAACCACTCGCCTGAATTAGAGTGACGCCTAAACTAGAGTATTGTCGGTAATCAAATCTGGGAAAAAAATGATGTACATGTTGTTAGGAGACTAATTGTACTGGCATATGTCATCAGATAGAAACATTCTATGTGATGATCGCTTGTCCATTGGAGTGTTTGATACATGTGATGAGAGACTACAATGACTATTCCATGTACCATACAGTACATTACTGATTCTCATCCAGCTTACAATGGGTTTTAGAAAGTGAGAAATAACAGGACTATGAGGTTATTACGAGGATACCTCAAAGTATGCACGAAGACAGTACAGCTGGATTATCAACAGACACTCATTGAGGGTTGATGCAGCGGCATACTGTCTAAGTGCATACTTTGAGGTATCTTCGTAATAAACTTATTATTATACATCTTTTCCTACCAAGGATACATCATGGGAATGCCAAAATCCAAAAAAGTTTTGAACAGAATCAGCGAACTTCTTTGTGTGGTGTCCGATCAAACCTTGGTGGCAGCCATATTTGTTTTTATTATTAGAGGGCGCTTATGCACATAATCATTCTATATTTGAAATTTGCATTTCCTTATATGGTAGGATGAAAATACCCTGTAAAATACCGCAAAATTACGGCACTTGTAACTCATGGCGTTACTGTGACAGATGTATTATGATAGTTAATAATTCTATTACAATATACACTGTCTAAAATAATTTGATTATACAAGGTTAACATGACTCAAACATATAACCATGCACTCACCTTAAGGTAGAACCCCACTCATACTTTTTGAGAAATTTGGTCATAAATCACATGACAATGTTCATTGGTTTATTATGTAAAATCATGGAGCTATTGTCCCATGGCACCATAAAATAGCATTCTATTGTGTGTTACAGTGACGTATTTTGAGAAACTTGTCCTAATTTTTTTCAAAAATAGCTATTTTTAGAACAATTCCATAGAGCGCAATGTTAAACAAAAATTGCATTTTTAACACTTTTTAAAACCCAGATATTTGAAAAAATTCTGGAAAACAAAAAGAAGGCCATTATGAACAATATATTATTTTTGCAGCCTATTTCACCAGTCTACAATTTGAGATATGGCATAATATCTCTGCCAAAAGAACCTATGGTAAAAGCACTATAATACTACCAAAATGGCCGCTATTCACTAAAATACAACCATGATTTTCTCGAAAATTAACCTGGTGCCCCCCATTTTTTTCAAAGTCAATATTCTTATATTGCCTGCAAGTACAATATATTAAAAAATGAATAAATACTTGGTTTTTGAAATCATGAGTAGGCATCTACCTTAACTAGATCTGGGATTTTCATGGTTTCATATGTCTCTAGTTTTGTAACTACACCATCATCATCTCTAAAGCCAGCAACAATGGTAGGAAGACCAGGAAGAAATGACTGTGCCCACCATTTGATTAGTTTAAATCTGAAAGAACAGATAAATTAAATTAAAGGATCTCTATGTATATGATATGCCTGAATTGTTATTTGTTAATGACAGACCAGTGTGGGAGAATAATTTTTGACAGTCTTAATTTTCTGAACTAAACTTACTAAATCTGATTAAAATTTGACCATCAATGTACTTTAACTTTAATTACAAATGTACATGTGACCAAGTGAATATGCAAAATGCTCTTTTCTGACAACCAATTAGAATACACTTCACTAGAAGGCAAGCTGTAACACAAGTTCTGAATGGTTGCTGATCCTACAAGACCAAAGTGCATCTTCTAGCTAATTAGTAGCATAGTAATTTTTTATTCTTTCGAGCAATTGGCTACAATATCAGAAAAAATTACTACACAAATTTAATAAATCAGATTTTGTAGGGACTTAAATATTTGTCACGATATTCAAATCCACGTAAATTATTATCATTTTTGCTATTAAGAAATATTTATTTTTGGAGCCATTACTATATTTACGGTTGCAGGGATGCATTGGTAAAATAATTACTCACATTGTAGTCAATTCAAATGATCGCTATCAGTACTAGAAATTTGGGGAAACAAATTTCTGTGCATGGGAAAGTTGAGATTGGGAAAATTTGAAATGACTCAATTTTATGATCACATACATCATTGAAGCTTGTTTCACATGAACATCATCATATTGACCTTAGAATACAAAATAGTGTAAAGCAGATAAATTTAAGATATTTTCATTTCCACATGTAGGCTTTGAACTTAATACACACATGTTATGTCAAGGCAAATGTATGTAGAAATTACCACCTGAAAGTTCCAGGTCAAAGGCCATACTACTGAATAATGAATGCAAAGGTTCACACTATTGCCTCAAATGCATAAGGTTACTAGTTTCTTTATTATCAAAATACCTCTTAAAATTCCTGTACTGCCTGTCTGTGTATATTTCTCGACTTGTTTTCAACTCAACATAATTTTTTGATGGTTTGGTGTTATCCCCACGGCAACAGTCTACTTCTCCGGAAAACACTAAGGAATTTTCATTGAGTCTCGTTCTTACCACGGTACAGTATCCCTCAATGTTATTCACAGTGTCTTCAGTACTTGGAGGTGTGTGACCATCAGCTATATAACGAGAGATTTTGGAAATTGACATCATTAGTGGTCCATGCAGCGCGCCCTCAAAGAAGAATTTTAACACACACAATATGTTTGTAACTTTGTAACTAAGTTTTGTTGATTCAGAAGTTTGTTTATTTATTTAATATTTAAGCATCTCACTGCAAGGAGTAGTTATATGGCCTAACACAAAATATAGTAATTAGCAAGAAAAATCACACACAATAATTCCTCTCATATTGGTTTCTATGGAAAGATTATTTTTTCATAACTCAAAATTTGGCTTGATGACATGGGATGAAAAAGTCATATATTATTATCGATATGAATACTTATAATTTGAAACGTTTCAAAATACTGACATATAATGAAGCAAGTTTCCACAGTTATATTAGTTTTGCATTATATATGAAAGGTTCTCTTTGATAATGCATTGCATATTTGTGCAGTAGTGCAACATTTGAATTCAACTCAAAGTTATTCTACTCTTTTCTGATACCACACTATTCAGGCAATAGAAGTGAACCATAATTATTTATTCATGGAAAATATTAGATAACCATTATGAGGGCCAATGTGTAACTTCTGAATGTACAGAGAAATTTTTTAGTTACTTTTAATACAGACGTGTAAAGACATGGTGGATAATTCAGACACAATGAATAAATAATAATAAACAGTAAAAACAATAAATAATTTAATTTTAAAACTATCAAAAACCAAATAACATAAAAAACAAACATTTTTTGTTTGTGGGGATTTTTAAGAGGTGTGACACATTAAAACTTTGCACAATACTGAACATTTTTCGTTACTATTTCGAGCTATAATCTCTCATCAAATTATAACTTCAAGGAGGAAAAAGATAAGTATAATTATAAAGTTATCACAAGGATATTGCAAAGTGATGCACACAGGCAGTGAGGGTTTCATCGACTTCTGCTATGCGCCACTTTATATAACTGCCATTACTGTCTAACCTCATAGTATGAAGTTCTATGCATAAACACTATGGTAGTGTAGAAGAGCGTTGAGGCCATATTTCAGCCAAAGCTGGCTAGTAGTGTGTCATATTACACAGGTCTATGCTGATAGAGCCTGTCCTGTGACAATAGGTCAGGACACGCAAACACTTCAAGAGTGAACGTGTACTCACCACTCACAACATATTGCTCGAATTTATAACCCCAATATGTCATTTCTTTATGTGCAGATGTCATATTTTTCCTCCTGTCTCTAGATTCTTCAGTTTCCACTTCACTTATATAATATGTTCCATTGAATAAACTGACAGCCATTTTCCAGTCTTCTCGGTTTTCATACGGAGTGCAGAGAATTTTTGTCAGATGTCCTCTCCATGTGATGAAATCTGTATGGAGGCTGAAATGAAATTATTTTTTTTCATTTATTTAACACACGTACCTTACCTCTGATTACAACAATGCTGAACTGCTGAATTAGACACCCTTAATACCTAGTATTGAGTCTTAAATTGTGAGTATATACACAAGACTATGATAAACAGAACCTGTATGAAATACCCGGTAGTTGCACACATTTACCTCAATTGTGTCACACATTTAATGCCTTCTCTTGCACATTCATCGCCTTTTTATCATGCTTGTGTCACACATTTTCACTGTGCATTACAGCACAGTATGCTGAGGATCGAATAGACTAGCTCAGCCATGGTTAATTTAATTAATTTTTATTAGATGGTTTAACAATTAAGATAATAATAATAAATCTTGCAGACATGGGCAATCATAGAAGTCAAGCGTCAATGTTTGTGTTTTCAAGAGTTAGTTTAGATTACTACTGTGGTAGTAAAAATGTTTTTAGATTTGGAGATAGGATAGTAAAATCACAAAGAAGTATACCTATGTTGGAATGGCACCGTTATATAATGCAATGTGTAGATTATTTGCTATGTTGACTTTGTGTCTTGCGCAGAATAGAGGGCCCGGATGCATGACTCTTTTTCTAAGGTACATGGATACATTATTGTACTTACTTTCCATCTTTCTGTGTATGGATTTCTTCTTTTGTTTCTGGTTTCTTGTGTAAATTAAATTTCTCTCTGTTCGCCAACACCCATTTTAATAAAATGTCCAGACGCTCTTTAACATCGTCGTCTCTTTTGATGTATTTCTCGTATCCCTTAGTCAAATCAAACTTGACCCTTTTTGTATCGTCTGGTGGGAAGTAGTATCTCAGCTGTCGAGCGTCATTATGAAATTCCCTGTCAATGTCCAAAGAAAAACAACCGATTTCTCTTGGCTGTCGAAAATAAGGAAAGTTACCATCGTAGAGTGCCGGGTTAGATTGGAGTGTTTTCGGTGAGTACGATACAGGTTCGCGGTTAACTTTTTGTCTCTTGGATGTTGCATCCGTATCATCTGTGCGACGCTTCATCAATATAACCAACAGTAAAATCCACTTGAAAAACAAAAACACGTGTTTATCCTCTGGCTACAATCCTCGTCGGAAACAGCTGATTTATTTTTGCATTCTGGGTAAAAGTTGCTCGCAGCCAATCAAAAATAACCATCGTAAGAAAAGTAAGGTCGAGGGTCATGTATAGCACTAAGAACACTTTTGATGAAAACATCGCTGTGTAATGTGTATTATCGTCCGACAAGAATTCTACCGTCCATGAGTTTCAGGGAGACTGTTTTACAAATTGGTAACACCGATGAGTATAATTCGATTAACTTCATTCAAATTCAATCTCGTTAGTCAATGGCATTGCGGTAAATTGCGCTGACGACAGGAAGGTTTACTGGTTTCACAAAACAGCTGTCTCATTCCACGCATAGCTGGTCACATAGTACATCCTCTGAAAAAATAGGAAAACTGGTGTATAAGTAAGTAAGTAAGTAAGTAACGTGTGGATTTGGTTCATTAGTCTTTGGTGTAAAACCTCTCGTTTCAGTTTGAATCGTGAAATCTATAAACATTTATAAAAAAAATAAGAGAATTTGTTGTCTGTTGTGTCGATAGTAAATAGAACATTTTTAATTTATGGCATCTATTTAGAAAATATATTTCGGATTTCGATTGGATATTGCGTGACCGCTTTCGATTTGTTTGAAAGTATGTGAACCATGTGTAATCGGTCTTTAATTTGCTCTAGGAAAGCCTTCTAAATTTATATTACAAGCCGAAAGGCAACGAAAAGATAAACCTCAGCCACAGTCCCTTTGTCTCCGGTCTAGAAACAGTTTTTGTTTTAGGTGCTAATAGGCACGGCACGGATCTAGAAGCCGTACCTACGCACGAATTGGTGACGTCACAAAATATATGACTTTCAATCGGCGGGGTTTCCTCGGTATATACGAATTGGTATATACAAATTACAATAAAGATACTTAAAACATTACACATAAGGTAAAACAAATCACGCGACAATATAATGATAATAACGGTAAGAAATCCTAGCTTAACAGTTGAACAGAACGCTCATATAATCAGTCGGGTGACGCCGAGGGTCGCGCACTGTGTTGCAAAATGGCCGTGTGGTTGAAACTGGGTCATGGCGTGACGGGTGAGGAAGACATCATTGAACACTCTCAAAATCACAATAAAACGGGGAAGTGGTTGCATATTACGGCGTAGCCAACATGGGAAATAAAAAAAAACGCCCAATACATACGACATGGGTTCGAATCACACTAGATACACACTCACCAGAACCGAAGCAATCAGAAACCAGCAATCGTTTTGGCTTTTCCCTTTCAACTCATCGGAACACTGGAGTAGTTAGAAAAATGAACACCACTTAACGACCAACATTGTGGCGTGTACACAAGCGTGCCATCAAAATAAAACCAAATTAGCTTGAAAAGACAGTGAGTTCGAGTCCCCCTCAGAGCTACCGTAAAAACGTAAATCAAATAAACTGAAAT